CCCGGCAATCCAAGTCAATTCACTGCAGGTTACAGAGTGTAATCTACCACTGGTACAACATACTGTAGAAGTTTTGCAACTTCCCAGCCTAGGGCTGAGAAAGAGTGACTGCCATCTATGTCTATTTACACACACACACACACACACACACACAAACACACTTTTGAGATTAGCTCTTTGTGATTTAAGGACTAAATGTGTGTTTTCTATCTCCAGACTGCAGGAGGTTACAGTGCCAATTTTCAGCAACTGCATTGCCAAAATTTGCTGCCATTGTCAGAGGAGGTCATCAGAGCTTATGAAAGGGGAATTGGAAAGCATAACTGTCTATTCCTGACATCAAACATAGAATATTTACATAAGCTTCATTTCAGAGGATGTGGCATTTATGGAGAATGATTTAGTATGCAGTAAGTAGTGAAAAGTTCTCTGACATTTTAATCTGTATTTGAAACTAAACCAATGAGCAGTTACTCTATTACTAAAGGACGCTTCTTGATTTCTGTGAAAACTAGATCTTCTTATCTGAAAGTGTCTCTTGCTAGTACGCTATAGAAAACAAAGCGGATCAATGTATTACGGTAATAAAAACTACTTCCATTTGTTGGTATATTTTACAGAATTGGAATGAAGAGCAAGGAATGACTAAAGCTTGGGTATCCATGAATGGAAAAACCCAATAAACTAAGGATAATCCACGAAGGTCTGTCACAAGAAAAGTTTACTTTAAATACTACTACCCTGGACTAAAAAGACAGAAGCCACTGACTGTGGAACTAACCTTCCTCCAGGCAGCTGAATTTCACATAGAATTGTTCTGAATCTCTCATATTGTGAGGGAATGTATCTACGAAGCGGAGGGTGATGGGAGAGAGCAGGGCTATCAGGAGGGAGGGGGCGCATTCCAGGAGGGGAAAAGAGACAAGAGACAACACAGTCCACAGGGGGAGCGTGGGAAGCATAAGAGGTTCAGGATAGCCACTCCCTAGAATCGCCCATGTTATATCCACTAGTTGCAGGAATATAGGTTTAGTCTGGCAAGATTCTGACTATAAGGTGTACACAAATAAAGGAACTTGATTCAACCGGACTGCTTCACTGTTGTTCTTGGGTTAGGCCTAACACATATCTGCAGGGTTTTGCTGTGGTAAATAGTGTCCCCAGCTTTCCATGAAAACACTTGAGAAAGTGCTTTGTTACGTAGAGAAGAAGATATACCACATAATTTCAGTATTACTCACATCTGGCCCAGGGAGTCCTGGAGGTCCTGGAGGTCCCTAGGGAAGAAAACCATAGTAAAAGGTATGAGAAAAATTCTCAGTTACATTACAGAAATTCCAAAGGAATAGAAAAGTTCTATGAGAGACAGTTGTAGCAAACCAACAGAGTTCTGCGGTGATGAAATGAGCTCTAACTCTTAACCCAATCAGTCCTAAAAGAGCTCTGTTTATTATAAGCTTATCAAGTTATATGTTTTTTGTCTATCATGGTCTCAGTTTTCTTAATTATGGCTAGTGGCTGTGACCTGTTGCTTTTGATAGAGCTTAGTCCCAAATTGGACTGGAGAGGAGATGAAAATAGGCCACAAGCATAACTGCTGCTAGTTGTTGAAGATCTCAGGTGCTATCTTCACCATTGCCCTGGATTAGCACATTATTTAAAATATTGCTGCTCTCCAAGATACATGAGATAAAATAACAAAGCAAACAAAACAAAAATTATCCTTTCTGCCCTAATACTATAGTCACCCTTCTCAACCAGCTGGAAGGACTGCAGTATTCAACAACTCCAATGCATTTGATGTTCTAGTGTACCGAATATAACCTCTCCTGTGTTTGAGATCTTCCCAGAAAGAAACCTTTTTCCTATAGCAGCCTTAAAAAAGTATTGGTCATTTGTGCCAGATTGATGTTAGGTTTGGGAAATCCTATTCTTCCTGATAATACTTTGGTAGAATAGCCTGTTGCCCCCTCTAAGATCTAAAATGGGGATGGGTGGGTGGGATGTTCTTTGTAACACAGAGTTAGTAGGAAGCTTATGTTGCTACTTACTGGAGCTCCTTCTGGTCCCCTGTACCCTTTGGCACCTTTCTTGCCATTGACCCCAGTTTCATTTCTCTGGAAGGGGAAAAAAACACAAGAACAATGCACTTATTTTCCAAGTGGATGGCTGTGTTGCCAGCTCTCTTCTATTAGAAAACAGAGCAGAAAGGCTCCTTGGCTTCCTTTTGTTCAAGTTTCTAATTACAACAAAAGAATTAACAATTATGAAAATCACTTATCTAATAGATGATTTGGGTGTTAGTCTAAATCATCTATTAGATAAGTGATTTTCATAATTGTTAATTC